TGAGTATTGACTCATTACATATGGAAAGGAAAAGGCATAAAAGAAGAGAAAAGGGGCAAATAAATCTACTAACAAAAAAGGTCAAATAAGCCCTTATATAGGAGGTTCTGTCCGGACGTCGTCATTTGGGGCGGTTCCCGGTGGATTTTTTGATGAACTTTTTTTGAGCATATTATTCATTAAATCTAGTTTACTCATACCAAATTTCAACTAACAATTCAATCGGGAAGACATTCAAATGAATTCTTGAAGATAACTGTGCTTTTAACTGCACAGTTATCTTCAAGAATTCATTTGAATGCCTTACCGATTGAAGTTTTAGCTAAAATTTGGTATGAGTAAACTAGAATTAATGAATAAGATGCTCAAAAATTTTCATCAAAAATTTCCACCGGAAACTGCCCCAAATAACGATGGCCAGACAGAACCTCCTGTATAAGACTTATTTAACCTTTTTATTAGTATGTGAGCTTATTTGCGCCTTTTCTTCGTAAAGGAACAAAAGAAAAGCACCAAAATATTAGTATATTACATTGGTCATGAACTCATGGTATACGTTTTGGCCAATGCAAGTAACAAAAAGAATAATTGCTTGTTGTAAAAGGCATGTAATCCCTCATTCCGTTGTGTGGACTAATCCATCATATTGAAATTAGCAAATAAACGTGTGTGATTTTTATTAATGCATGAAGTTTGATTTCATATTAAAAGGTTTCAAAATGTTATACGGAGTACATTATAGTTGATGGATGTTACCGGTATGTCACCAGGAGTTCAATTGTTTCAAATAATGCAGATTCGCAATAAAAAGTTCACTTCGATTAGGTTTGTTTTATCTTCCGATCAAAATTTGAAAATCACGATTTGATTGATTAGCTTTATTGCAATTCGATTTTGGTTTTCTCAAATTTCATAAAAAATATTTTCGTTGATCAAAACATAGTAATTGCAAAAAAACCTAAATCACAATTCACAAAATAATTAATTAATGGAAATTTAATACAAACATTATCTCCTACTTATATAAAGGGTGACTTCAACGCCGTTCCGATTTTTCAGCCTCTTTTCCGTTAAACCCACTTCCGTCTCCCTTATTCCTCACGCCCGTCTCGTATTTCATTTCCGCAATTTTAATCAAAATCCATTCCTCAGAAACCGTCTTTCGAAAAACATTACATCATTCCGTCTCCCCTGTTCACCCATCCTCCCTACAGTTCTCTTGTCAGCGGCTTGGAGATTTTTCCCTCTTCTTGTGGTTCTCCTTCCATCCGACCTTGCGGCTTGCGTGTTCTGCCGGTTTATCAGTGCACTCATCATCCTGCTCAGGACATCCCTATTTAAGGAGGATCGTATACTAGCAGTCACGCTTAAGTCTGCTGAACTTTGTTATATATTATGCTCTTCCTGTTCTGTTTTTATTGTGAGCTTGGGCCTTTTCCTATTGTGTCTTTGTACCCTTAGTTTTCTTTTGTCTGCATGGTTTCGTTTTTTCAGACTCTCCCCAGAGAGGGGATTACTTTTATTTGGGTATGGAATTGGGCGCCTGGTGTGTTTGGTTCTTTGTTTGCTATCCTTTTATTTTTCCCATATCTTAAATTCAAAACCCCTCCCAACTGAATCTCATCTTTTCCCTACTATTCTCTTTCACCGAGCCAAACTATTGGAGCTAAAATGGAGAAATAAAGAAAGAATAAAGGTTGTGTACTTGTGTTAAGGTTCTCCATATTAACTGTTTAATTTTCATACTTTCAAGAGCTAATTAATGAGATAATGTTTCCACATGATTAAAGATATCTTCAATTATGGTTCTCATCCCCCTGTGTGTTGTCATGTCTTAAATCAACCGGACTCGTTTACTCCCCCTTCTTGCCATTCAAGATCCTTTGCTCATTCAGGTTTCATTTAATTTGTTTTGGAAGTTTTTGCTGCAAACTTGTGTTTTTTTTGCTTCCATGGTTTATTATTGTCTATAAATGTACCTTTTGTCTGTTTCAAATTTGCAGGGAGGTTACTTATGTGCCTGAGTTTATATTATTAATATTATATTATTTGTGTGTATTAACAAAGAATTGTTAGGAAAGTGCTGATGGTGCTCATGGTTAATCAATACACACTTTTGAGGGTTGGTTTGCAACTGCTTTTAAAAAAGCACTTCTCAGCTTTTGGCTTTAAAAAAGCACTTATTTTCCCAAACACTATAACTTTTATTTTTCTCGGCTTCCGCGTCAAAAGTGCTTTTACTTTTTCTATTACACAAAAAGCACTTATTTTACCAAACATTACCCACTTTTACTTTTCAAAATCACTTTTTTCTCAAACACTATCAACTTTTATTTAATCACTTCTCTCCATTTCATTAAAAAAGCACTTTCTTAAAAGCAGAAGTTGTTGCAAACATACCCTGAATGTATTTGGATACTATTGACAATTTGACACATATGGGTTTGACCTGGTTCAAGCTATGTTTATCCACACATATCTCTCACTTAATTAAACTTCATTTTATATTGAAATTCGAATTTTTTGCTACTTGTCAAGCTGCCGGTACAAGCCACCCATAAGCTTTGACGGGATTTGATGCTAAATTTATTAGAAGTTTTTGTTGTTGTATTTGTTCCTTCTATAATCCCACTATAAAGGTGGTGGATTTACAAAAACTTTTAGAATTAGGTCTATTAGAACACCTTGCCCAAGCCACGGTTTGAAGCAGGTGCTTGAGCTTTCTTAAGACGGATATGTTTAACAATTGACCATGATGAAATGTTATTCCTTCCATCCCAAAACAAATGTCCTATTTTTTGTTAGAAATTGTCCCAAAGTAAATGTCATGAGTTGAAGTACGTGAATCGCATTATTTCGCTCATTTCAACTGAAGTTTACACGTCTCCTTTTACTTTTTATCTATTTTCTTAGCATGTGTGTATGTCACACCTAAAGAGGACATTTATCTTGATATAGAGGAAAGTCAGTAGCATTTTGAAAAATGATGTTATATGTAGTCAGAATTATTTTATGATATACTTTTTTTGAAAATATATGGTTCAGAAAATATTTTGATGGTTTATGTTTTACACAATGCACTTTCATCAATAAGTACTACGTAGTATATTACAGTTTTTTAAAACATTAGGAAGAATGCTATGACTATTGCTTTAGGTATATGCCTGTACACTTTGTAACACGGAGTATACAATATAATCATTGTGAGAAAATTTAATTACCTCTTTTGTCTGTCTATTTCCGTTTGCAGAATAGGGTGATGCACTTGCACTCTAAAAAGACTGTTTTTGTATAGCGACTTTCTTCAGTTCTTTTTTATACGAAATATGTTATAACCGTAGTTATGGGTGCCCGCGATGAGTAACATCCATTACTCATTTGACGTTCTGTTTTGCCTGACGTTACTGGCTGCTAAGTTTTGTGATTCATTACTAATCATCCATTAGCTTTACATATTTAAAAGTGAACACCAACTGTGTGTTGAAACTGGCATTTAATTTTAGGCTGCATTAAAATGTTCCAGTTAGAAAACAATAGTTTGTTTTCAAAATATTTGAGTTTAAAAAGAGTATGTTTTTAATACACTTTTTATTACTAATCACATTATATGGCTTATAATTTTATGCAGTGTGAGTTTGTTCCAGGAAAAACTATTTTTTACTGCTACAATTTACGCATTTAGCTTTTCTCATTGACTATAAGCTATTTTTGTAGTGCCAACTTTTGTGGGGGTGAATGAATGATTCGAATGAATAGACTTTTTTGAACTCGTGTAGATTAAAGCGATTAGTTCAGATATGGTGGTCAACTTCCAATCTTTATGTTATATATGCTAATGTCCCTTGGTTGCTACAAAATATTAGCGAAACTGCCATGTTATATGCTAGGTTCTTCATTGACAACACTAGCAATGAGGATAGGGTGATATGCATTTGTGACAGATGCCTTGACCAATTTTTTAAAATCAATTCTAAAATTTGTTTCCTAATCTTATACTTCTGTCATCTCTGCATTTAAACATTCAGTCTCTATTTAAAAATCAAGTTACTTGGATTGGGCACATAGCCTCGTGCATGGCACGTGCCTTGCTAGTTAAATAGAATAAGGAGAAACAAATATACTTCCAAGCAATAAATTAGAGTGGCATACTATGCCAACATCTCTTCAAACTTAAAACTATTCAAATACATAACTTTATATTTTCTTTTTACTCCAAAAGGTAGACACCCCATCCCTGATGACCCTCCCAGCAACGACCAGACAGTTAGCTGAGAAGATGTAAATTGAGCTTTGATCTCACTCTAATGGAAAGAGAGTGGGGCTCCATCCCAAATCATTGCTTGGAGTTGAGCCCGGGACCCCTCCATTATGGGCCTTATGGCACTCCCTTCCTACCAGGTGAGCTACGCCCCCCGGTTCTTTTTACCCCAGTAGGGGTCGGGGGGGGGGGGGGGGGGGGAGTTGGAGGAAGTCTGGGGTAAACAGAGCTGAAATTTCCTGCATAGAGTTTTGAACCTGGGACCTCCCTATGGGAGATTGAGTCGGCAATAACCTCTTATGTGACCCAACTTTGTAAGATTCATAAAATCGTGATTGAGTCAAATATAATGCTTGAATGAATAAATATCACTTTGTCAGACCTTTAGAATTCAAACAATTTCTCTTCACATTATGAATGTAAGAGTAAGTGTTCTAACTCCTCTCAAACAATCATAAGGAAGTACTTATATATTGTGATAACACCTTTTTGCAACCTCTGCTAATTCATGTGTCTCCGAACCATATGTTGACAACCACTCAACGGCCTGCATGTTCACTGCATCTATCAAAGCGGCTACCATAGAAAAATCCCTTCTTTATGTGAAAATTCGCAAATTGTTCTCTTAACAGTCGTTGTTCTTATGGGTTTAACCTTTCAACAATTCTTTTAAAAACTTCCACTACACATAACACAACTTCTTTATCGGGTGCTAATTTCTCGAGATAGTAAACATCATAAAATCGCGATAGTAAACAGGCAGATCCAGAGGATTTGGATTTGTCACCTTTAAGGATGAGGATTCCATGCACAAGGCTATTAACGAAATGAATGGCAGTGAGCTTGATGGACGAAACATCACAGTCAACGAGGCTCAATCTCGCGGATCAGGAGGTGGAGGCGGAGGAGGCTACGGTGGTGGTCGCCGTGAAGGTGGTGGTGGAGGTTATGGTGGCGGTTATGGAGGCGGTCGTCGTGATGCAGGCTATGGAGGTGGTCGCCGTGAAGGAGGCGACCGAGGTTATGGAGGTGGTGGTGGAGGTTACTGTCACGCCCCGGACCTACCGGACACGTCAACAACCCGCCGTACAGTACGAATAGTCAACCGCAGTCCAACTCATCCATACTATACTAGGCGTCTTGAATACCATTCACACATAGTACATCCATAAACAATCATAACGTAAAATATTTAATTAAGCAGCGGAAACATAATTACAAATATTCAAGCCACACGTGGCAACCACGGGCATACAAGCCCCCAAATAAATATTCGAAATAATATCCATGAGCATTATTTAAATTGTTTTCAAAACAGAAACAGGAGAAGTACGAACCCCGCCTTCCTCCTTGAATTCCCCGAAGCAACGAGCGGTAGTAGCAAGCTCTACTCCCTACCTGAAACTGTGAGGTGGCCTCCCCCGTGAAGGGGAGGTCAGTACTTGGAAGCATTTGACAAGTACAATGACAACTATACTAAGTATAATCAAAGTTTCAATTTCCAAGACCCTCAATCCAAGATGTTATTCATTTGTACTTAACTCATGTTCCTTCATGCTAGAGCTCGGCTCATAGTCATGCTAAATTGTGCTAGAGCTCGGCTCATAGTCACACTACATTTGCTAGAGCTCGGCTCATAGTCATACTAGATTGTGCTAGAGCTCGGCTCATAGTCACCCTACGTTTGCTAGAGCTCGGCTCATAGTCATACTAATTTGTGCTAGAGCTCGGCTCATAGTCACCCTACGTTTGCTAGAGCTCGGCTCATAGTCATGCTACCACGTGCTAGAGCTCGGCTCATAGTCACGTCAACTAATCCCTAAACCACTTCTTAGTCTAGGTTCCATCCATTTTGAGTAACCCTTAAGGCCTACTCCAAATGTAACTTAAGTTCATAATAATTTGAATATCTCAATTAAATTCCACATTCAAGTATAACTTGGCTCTAATATCAAAATATCACTTTTATCCTTCCATGACTTCCTTACATGAGGTAAAAGTATATTTATCACAATTTAGTTTATAGTTTACACAACTATTATACCATTGTATTCATAACACATAATCATACACAATCTATTCATAAGTTTGTATATTATGCATTTTTGCTTATAAACAATAAAAATCTCATTTAGGCATTTTATTATTATAAATACATCATGCCAAACACATATAATTCATTTAGGTAATCTTATGAAATTAACCCAATAATTATAAGCAATATAGTCGGTCATCCTCACCTTAAGTGAGCTTAAGCGTGTTCTACGCTCCGCGGTTGAACTTTGACTAATTCCGGTGAACTTTGACCAACTCCGGCCAACTTTGACCAACTCCGGCGAAACTCCGGCGAAGCTCAAAGATACTTTATATCAAGTTCCTAACAAGGTCTTAACATCATAAAACCTTAATCAATACAATTAACCTATAAAAGGTTATTTTCCGGTGAACTTGTCGGTTTGGCCCCTAGGTCCGTTTTTGGACATAGAACCACCTTCCAACCCATCATTCTACACTTAAGCCATGTAGAACAATCCTCAAGGTTCCTCATATGATATATATCTCATATGGTAGAAGAAAAATAAAGGAAAAACTAATATGAGGTCTTTACCTTAACCCTTCTCACTTTCTCCTCACTTTTTCCTTCTCAAAGACCTCCTTTTGGACTCCTTAAGCTTGAGCTCTCTTCAAAGATGGAGAATGGAGGATGGAAAATTACTCTTGCTTCTTTCTTGGGTGCTGGCCGAGATGGGGGGTGAGGGAGAGAGGGGTGAGATTTTCTTTTTGGCTTTCTTGCCAAATGAGTGAGGATGGGGTCCTTAGGATGTCAAAATGGTCTCCCCCATCATCTCAAGGTTTTCAGACCTTGTTTGAGACAAATCAGCCTCCATTTTGTGGCCAAAATCGTGGGTTGGCCCCCACTCATGTGGGAGGTCAACCCCTTTTGTCCCGAAGTGTACAATCGGTCCCGAAAGTTGTATTTTTCGGACAGTTTTTGTTATATTTTATTTTATCGGGTCAAATAAAATATTTTACATGCTCTTTAACCAACATGAACCTTATAATGAATATTCATTCCCCAACTTTAATTTATAAGTCCCCGAAATTCAATTTCGGACATTTATCGGTAAAATCGTCAATACCGGTATTTGGGCCTCTCTTGACCAATCGGTCAACTCTGGACCTTTCCATGGTTCAAATGAATTATCCACCACCATATAATTATTATCTAGACTACGATGAATAATTTATGTGGTCCCGGGAATATCGGGCGGCCCCCGCTTCCGGGCGGGCCTCACGTGCGAATTTACTATTCGTGCGAAAGAATTAATAAAAATTCGTAACATCATAATTTCTTTAACCATTCCATAAGGTTAAAATATAATATTCACATAAAAGTAAATACATTTGGGGACGGTGTTACAAGTTCACCCCCCCTTATTTGGGATTTCGTCCCCGAAATCCACGTGTCTAGTCGAAAAGAAAAGGGTATTGCTCCCTCATCGAGACCTCGGTCTCCCATGTTTCTTCCTCGACCCGATCACTCCTCCAAAGGACTTTCACCATAGGAATCTCCTTGTTTCTCAATTTCTTCACTTGTTGTCCCACAATCTTCACCGGTTCCACCGCATATTGTAGGTCTTCGCGTATCTCTACCGGTGGCCTCTCAAGGATATGAGACGGGTCTCTCACGTATTTCTTGAGCATCGATACATGGAACACATCGTGTATCTTCTCAAGTTCCGGCGTCAACTTGAGTCGGTATGCTACGGCCCCTATCCTTTCAAGGATTTCAAATGGACCAATGTATCGGGGGTTAAGCTTTCCCCTCGATATAAATCGGATGATACCCTTCCAAGGAGAAATCCTTAGGAAGACCTTATCACCGACCTTGAATTCCAATGGCCTTCGTCGTTTGTCGGCATAGCTCTTCTGCCGATCTTGGGCGGCCTTGAGTCTATCCTGAATGACTTTCACCTTAGCCTTGGTGATTTCAACAAGTTCAATCCCCTCGAGCTTGGCCTCGCCAACCTCGTCCCAACATAACGGTGTTCTGCACTTCCTCCCATACAATGCCTCGTATGGAGGCATGCCGATACTCGCCTGATAACTGTTGTTATAGGCGAATTCGACTAGAGCCAAATGTTTGTCCCAACTTCCTTGGAACTCCAGAGCACACGCCCTAAGCATGTCCTCCAATATCTGTATCACTCGCTCGGATTGTCCATCCGTCTGTGGATGAAAAGCCGTGCTGAACTTCAATTTAGTACCCAAAGATGCTTGAAACTTGGGCCAAAATCGAGATGTGAATCGTGGATCCCTATCCGAGACAATGGATATCGGGACTCCATGTAGTCTCACAATCTCCTCCGTGTATAGTTTTGCCAATCTTTCAAGAGGGTAAGTGATGTTAATAGGCAAAAAGTGAGCACTCTTGGTGAGCCTATCAACTACTACCCATACCGCATCATAGTTGTTCACGGTCCGTGGCAACCCCACCACGAAATCCATAGTCACATGCTCCCACTTCCATTCTGGAATGGAAAGTGGTTGTAATAACCCAGCTGGATGCTGATGCTCTGCCTTGACTTGCTGACAAGTAAGGCACCGACTGATGTACTCGGCTATCTCTCTCTTCATACCGGACCACCAGTAACTTTCTTTCAAATCGCGATACATCTTCGTGCCCCCCGGGTGCATGGCATAAGCCGATGAATGAGCTTCCTCTAAGATGGACTTTCGGAGCTCATCATCTGCCGGCACACACACTCGGTCGCGAAATAATAAAAGACCGTCGTCTCTTTCTCTGAAGTCCTCCACCGGTCCCGCTTGCAAGCGTTCCCTGATCTTCACAATTTCATCGTCAGTTTCCTGACCCTTCTTGATCTCATCAAGCAAAGTAGGTCTCACCTCAAACCGTGCCAATAAGGCACCATTACTGGACACCTCCAGTTGGGCTCTTAATGCCCTCAAATTAGCTATCAATGCCCCAGTTGAGCTCTTTCGGCTCAAAGCATCTGCCACTACATTTGCCTTGCCTGGATGGTACTCAATCACTAGGTGGTAGTCCTTTATGAACTCCATCCACCGTCTCTGTCTCATGTTTAACTCTTTCTGAGTAAACACGTACTTCAAGCTCTTATGGTCAGTGTATATGTGACATGTCTCTCCGTAGAGATAATGTCTCCAAATCTTCAGTGCGAACACCACTGCTCCCAACTCTAGATCATGGGTGGGGTAATTTACCTCATGCTTCTTCAACTGTCGTGAAGCATAGGCAATTACCCTCCCCTCCTGCATTAACACACATCCAAGCCCTTGGATGCTCGCGTCACTATAGACATCGTACCCCATACCCTGTTTGGGTAATGCAAGTACCGGTGCCTCGGTTAATCTCTTCTTCAGTTCAGCGAATCCTTTCTCACACTTGTCATCCCATACAAACTTAGCTCCTTTTCGAGTGAGCTTTGTCAACGGTGATGCCAAAACAGAGAACTTTTCCACGAACTTTCTATAGTATCCTGCCAATCCAAGGAAACTACGAATTTCCTTGACGTTCTTTGGCCTCTCCCATTCGGTGATGGCTTCTATCTTCTTGTTATCAACAGCAATCCCCGATCCCGAAACCACATGCCCGAGAAAACCAATCTCCTTGAGCCAAAATTCACATTTAGAAAATTTGGCATAGAGTTGCTTCTCCCGTAGTGTCTCAAGAACGAGTATCAAGTGCTCCTCATGCTCTTCCTCGCTCTTTGAGTAGATCAAGATGTCATCAATGAACACAATCACGAATCGGTCCAAGTATTTGTGAAATACTCGGTTCATCAAGTCCATGAATGCCGCCGGGGCGTTTGTTAACCCAAACGACATAACGAGGAACTCAAAATGCCCATACCTCGTGCGGAAAGCACTCTTCGGTATGTCATCCTCCTTAATCTTCAATTGATGGTACCCCGACCTCAAGTCGATCTTTGAAAACACGGTTGCTCCTCGTAGTTGATCAAACAAGTCATCAATCCTAGGCAAAGGATACCTATTCTTGATTGTGACCTTGTTCAGTTGACGATAGTCAATGCACATTCGAAGTGTTCCATCCTTCTTTTTCACAAAAAGAACCGGTGCTCCCCACGGAGAGTGGCTTGGTCTAATGAAACCGTTATCCAAAAGCTCTTGCAATTGGGTTTTCAACTCGTTAAGTTCAGCGGGTGCCATGCGGTACGGCGGTATGGAGATTGGTTTGGTGCCGGGCTCGACCTCGATCACGAACTCAATCTCCCTATCGGGTGGAAGTCCCGGTAAGTCTTTTGGAAAGACATCCGGATACTTGCATACTACCCTCACATCATCAATGCTCGCCTCTTCCTTGGTTTTGTCTATTACATAAGCTAGATAAGCGTGACATCCCTTTC